CAGCACCATGATGATGCTCACAGCATCATGGAGATGGCAAAGGCAGCATTCTGATGATACCACAGCCACGAATCATCTTGCGACAGTGCAATGAAATTCAGCATCATCCTGATATTGACAGCATTATGCCCGCCACCACACTCACGAACCATAACGCGGCATCGCAGCGATTGCAGCAGCATCATAACGTGGCACGAACCAATACGCGCGACAGTTAGAGCAGCAACAACGTCCGAACCGGTTCAACAGCATCATGATGCTGCTGACAGCATCATGATGCTGCGGCCAGCATCATGATGATGCGACAACCACGATACCCCAAACAGCACCCGCCCTAGCGCCCTGCCATCCATATGCGCCCGCACCCTCACCAACACCCGAAAACAGCAGCCCCAATAGCACCCCAACGCAGCACCCGCGCCAGCACCGGACACGTCCCCGAGCACCCTGCCGACGTACTGTCACCAGCACCTGATCCGAACAGCACCCAAAACCGCACCTGCGCCAGTAACCCCAAAGTGCATGCCCCCTAGCTCCCAGCTATCGATCTTGCAAATAATTTCTCTTCCTCATTAGAAGTCGAGTCTATGGGTTCCAGTTATCTGGGAAATAACGCGGTCAGCAGCACCTCCAACAGCAACACAAAACAACACCTGCGCCGCCACCCCAAACTGCATGCCCCCTAGCACCCGCCGGCAATCTCCGAAAATTGCGCCCACAACGTCGGCAGCACCTCAAACAGCACCCCAAACAGTACCCCAAAACAGCCGCATCAGCTCCCTAAACTGCATGCGGCCATCAATCTTGCAAGAATGCGCCTGCGCCATCACCAGCACCTCAAACAGCACCCCAAACTAAGCGCCCCCCCGCTGTCCATCAGCGCCTTGAACAGCACAGGCACCAGCACCTTAATCAGCGCCGCAAACTCCATGCCCCCTAGCACCCGGCCGTCAATCTCGCAAAACAGCACCTCCACCAACACTCCAAACTACATGCCCCCTATCTCGCAAAGCGGCACCTCCACCAGCACCCGAAACTGCATGCCCCCTAGCACCCGGCCGTCAATCTCGCAAGACAGCTCCACCAGCACTCCAAACTACATGCCCCCTATCTCGCAAAGCGGCACCTCCACCAGCACCCGAAACTGCATGACCCCTAGCGCCCGGCCGTCAATCTCGCAAAACAGCACCTCCACCAACACTCCAAAGTACATGCCCCCTATCTCGCAAAGCGGCGCCTCCACCAGCGCCCGAAACTGCATGCCCTCTAGCACCCGGCCGTCAATCTCGCAAAACAGCACCTGCGCCAGCACCCCAAACTACATGACCCCTAGCACTTGGCCGTCAATCTTGCAAAACAGCACCTCCACCAGCACCCCAAACTGCATGCCCCCCTAGCACCCGTCCGTCAATCTCGCAAAACAGCACCTCCACCAGCACCCATCTCGCAAAACAGCACCTCCACCAACAACCCAAACTGCATGCCCGCTAGCACCCGGCCGTCAATCTCGCCAAGCGGCACCTCCACCAGCATTGCAAACTGCATGCCCCCTAGCACCCAGCCGTCAAGCTCGCAAAACAGCACCTCCACCAGCACCCCAAACTGCATGCATCCCCAGCACCCGGCCCTCAATCTCGCAAATCATTTTCCCTTCTTTATTAGAAGTTAGAACCCCTATAGCTTTCAGCTATCTGGGGAAATATGAAAGGTATTTAGACATTATTTATCGTCAATATTAAATGGAACATATATTTATGATATGCTGGTAGTGAATATCATAAAATGGAACAGGCTTTCCATTGCTTCAACCAATAAGCATTGAAGCTAATTAGTTTGAATTAGTTTGAACCCCGCTTGTGTGTGTGTAGGTAAGAAGAAACTCAGTGCTGAGCCCCGAATATTCTAACATGCATGAAGTAATAACACTAACTATAAATTTATGTTATTGTTTAATATGGACAGAAGTTATTCAGATTATATTGACTAATAGATGAAGTAGAGAATATAGAGCAAGTCATCAGAACTGATAATAAAAATAAAAATGGTTGTTACTATTCATTAGAATTATTTAAGTTAGGAATACAATATATCAAACATAAAAATGAAAAGTAAAAATATACATGGGACAAAAAACAAAAGAATAAGACAGGGTTAAGTGTGTCTTCAACAGATGAAGATAAAGAAGAAATTGTTAAAGTCATTGAGTTGCTTGCCCTATGTGTAAAAAGATGTTAGAACTTAAAAATAAAGTAGAAGTACAAAAGAAAGAAATTGTAAATGCTCGTGTGTTCCAACAAGCTTCAAAATAAGTAAAAGTGACAAGAACATGAAATTGATAAAACTAAAGACGGCATCAACTTGGAGACTGACGTACATAATATCATTTTTAAATGGGGTCGGAACGCCACACCATCCGACAATAATGAAGATGAAACACAGGAAACTATTAAACAAATGATGAAAATAAGTATTTAAAAAGTAGTTTTAACATAATTGAACTTTATAAATAAATAATTGAATAAGTAATTATATTAAAGAATATATAGTAATGACTGAAAATCAGAATTCTACTGTTCATGATGTAAAGAAAAAGATAACATTCATTATTAAAATATTAAAGCCTTAAACGGCATGATTCAAACTATTGATGAAAAACTTAAACCATTTAAACGCGAACAACAAAGCAATGAAGAGAATGAAAATATTCAGAAAATGTTTCAAGCAAAATCTATATGAAGGCCGTCAGGCGACTACCCTACAAAGCAAAAGAAATATTGTGATATGTTGAAGACAGGAAAAAACAAGCAACCTAAAAGCACCACTTTAGGATTTTGTAAAATTTCAAAAAATGATGATGGTGTATATGCATTATTTGAATAATTAATATTTATATAATTTTAATAATATGAATTTATTAGAGTTATTTAGCAAGAAGACCTATATAGAACACCGCCAGATTAAATTTGTGCGATATGTGTTTGTTGAGACACTATGAGGGTTCGACACCATAAAATAAAAGGCAAGCATGTGTTGTTTTGACATTGTTGTTCAGGGGTGGTGCGTTGGTTTACTCATACTGGGTCATTTGTTCTTTAGGGCAGGTGTGTTGATGGAGTCATACTGGGTCATTTGTTTTTCGGGGGAGGTATGTTGATGTAGTCATACGGGGTCAATTGTTTTTCAGGGGTGGTGTGTTGTTTCGACATACTGGGTCCTTTTTTAGGGGGTGGTATGTTGTTTCGACATACTGGGTCATGTGTTTTTCAGGGGTGGTATGTTGTTTCGACATACTGGGCCATTTGTTTTTCAGGGGTGGTATGTTGCTTCAACATACTGGGTCATTTGCTCTTCGGAGGTGGCATGCTGGTTTTGTCATACTGGTCGTTTGCATGCTGGTTTATTCGGAGCTGGCATGCTGGTTTTTCCATACTATGATTATAACATTTATACCCTTATATGTTATAATTATTATTTAAGTGTCAGCGTTTCATATATATATATATATATATATATTTGACCCTAAAATCTACAAGGAGCACCACGCCCCAAAAAATTGATGATGAAACTGCTGAAACGAAGGAGGGGGGGTTTCATAATTTAAATAGTTATGATTAAACAGTTGAAAAGGACTTCAAGGAAAAATTGATGACTGAATATAATATATTCCAGTAAAAATTGAAGGCGTCAATGGTTTAACCAAAGACAAAATAAACAAATGAATAAAACAAAGGAAAAGAGAGAGTGAAGAAGTAAACAGGTTTATCCGTATAAATCCTTACCCATCAGCAGAGGAAACTAAAGTTATTGAACAAATGAAACCAACAGGAATACCGGTTGAACTGACGATAAGACTATATCATCGTGAAATTCTGGACAAAATGTATGATGAACTTAATGATGAAAGTAAAGTGATAGACTATGGAATGCAGTTAAACAAAGCAGAAATAACTGGTCCTAACAACTCCAAGCAGATGAAAATTATTTTTATGAAAGCAAACTGTTCAATTCTTCAACCAGTTAAGAGATACACATATGAAACAAATAAAAATGAAAAACATCTTGGCAAAGAAACTACATTAGGATGGTCAAGAAAAATAGAACAGTGGTGGAATGAAGTAGGCTTTAATACTATGAGCTGAACACTTAAAACAAATCTTAATCAACATATAATAATAACATGTAAACTCTTCTATGCTATAATTGTAATGTACTTATCGTTTGTAAAGATTGTATTGCTATATTTTCTTAATTTGCTTATCTCTTTCAAAGTGCGTTGATTGAACTTGGTATGCTTCTTCAATTTTTTCGTGCTTTGACTGTTTGATTGTGTTTGTGTGATACTGCTGTGTTTTTTGTTGGTATGCTGCTTTGTTTTTTGCTGATGTGCGTGTTTGAGTTGAGTGTCTTTGATGGTTTATAGTTTTGCTGTGTTGCTGGTATGCTTGTCTGATTTGTTGAACGTTGTGTGTTGTGATTAAATCGTTTTTGTTGTTGGTTGTTGTTTTTTTTATTTTGTTGTGGTGTTGTTCTGGTTTGTGCTTGCTGTTTGTTGTGTTACTAATGGAGAAAAAGTATATGGATAATTCTTGGAGTTCTCCTGATACTATTTTGTTTTTTGGGGGGGATGGGTGTGTGTGTGGGTGTGGGGGTGGGTGGTGGGGAGTCTGAGTGGGAGAAAACGTGAAGCAACAAATCTGCAAAACTGGGTCACCGGCGGAAAATGATGGGCCCTTAACGTACAGAACCGCAAGCAAACAACAGGATCATCCTCAAACATGACTTTAGATTTGCGTCATGCGCCAGCCGATGCCAGCTTGGCTTGGCATAGAAACTTCCTGTCGAACACTCTTGGGGCCAAGGGGCCTGCGCACTTGCAAGTCTCTTGTTGCTGCCACCCCGAAGCCCAACCCAACCACCATCATTGAACACCAAACTTGTAAACCAAGTCTTTGCCAAAGCGACGCAAGGCAGACCAAGAGCTCGCTCCCTCCTTCCCTCGCCTCACCGTGGCCGGAACCCCAATCCGTCGTCGAGAAAGTCCTGACAGCACGCCAGCCACATCTTTGTGCTGGACACTTAGAAGCGGTTTTGGAAGCTGCGTTGTCTGCCTCTGAATATGCTTCTGATGTTGAGCAAATGGCTACAGAAAAGGGGTGTTGTGTGAAGAGAATGATGCGTGTAGAGACTAGGGAATCAAGCAATATAATTCTGCCATGGCTTCCAGGAATGTGTTCTTCCAGGATTTGGCGCCCTTAGTCTGTCCAAGGCACAGCGCGCTCATATGGGTTCAGTGAGCCAGACCTTAAGAGAAGTATAACCGATTGCACTGAAGTAATACTAAGGAAGCCTTGGCTCCAAGGAATCCCAAAAGGAGTTCATCGTGTGGCACACTTGCATGGCTTGGCCTTGCTCAATTGCAAAAATATGCTTATTCATTCCTCGCGCAGGCATGATCGATTTACAATCCAGCAAATTTGTCTCAGAACTTGCCTGGTTGACCTTTTGTGGACCAAACGTATGGATCAAGCCTGGTTTTAACCAACAGGGACGCCAGGGACAAGGCTGCAGCAAACGGGCCCTTATCTGCTGGCCGATTTCTAGCCCCCCACTCTTTGCTGGCAACTGCGCTGGCCACTCTCCCCCGCGCAAGGCATCACAAAGAAAGCGTGAGAGTTTCCTCACTGGGGCATCCTGCCTCACGTAGTCTGGGGCAGCCGCAGGCAACGGCTTGTTGCGCGCGTAGCTGGGCGGAGTCCTGACACGCGGTCGGCCAGTACAGCCAAGGCGAACATCATATTCGCTCGATCAGTAGAAGCACTCGAAACAACTGTCAAGCCTTTCGCACGCCTGATGCTCTCAGTGAGGGGCAGCCTACCTCTCACCCCCTCAGGGCGCTAACAAACAAAACAGCCCACGTGTTGGACCTGGTTATCGTGTTGAAGCAGCACTTAGCTGCCATCACACACAGCAAGCACCTTACTTCTCTGCACTTGTCGCGATGCCCGGATATCCTATAACTCACTAACTGCAAGTAGGACCACAAAATCCTTCACCACGGCCAAACACAGACAAACAACAAGCTCGATCCCAAGATCTCACAATTTCTCACTTTGTCCCCACCCCCCCCCCCACTGCCGCATCTTATCTCAGTAGGGAACCGATACCTTGTGGTAGTAGAGGATCGTATATGTGGTCCCTGGATCTATTCCGCAAAAAACCAATATATGCCAATATGGAGTGCAAGAGAATGGATGTCCCTGGTGTTGTGGTTTGCTGTAATACCTGCGAAGCGGTCTGCAAGCCGTTTATCGATGCATCATGAGATTGTAAAGACTATGTGCAACAAAAGGACCTTGAGCCAACGTTGCGTGGAGATCAAGATATGAATCAAACACAAAACAGACACAAATTTCTGTTGATCTCCAGCACAGAATTACTGTGTAATGTTTGGCTTCTTGCCCTTTGGCCGTAGCCTTTGTTTTCTGCCGTAGCCATTGAAATATGCCGTAGCCATTGAAATACTGGATTCATCCTTTTGCTGCGCGGATGAAAAGTCCTGGTGACAACTGAAAGACGGTTTGTACACTTGATGTGAGATACCTAGCTGTATCAAAAAAAAGCGCAAAACGCTTTGTACACGCGGGATCGATGTGAAACTATTGATCGATCACTGAAAATAGTCTTGTCGTCGAGGAGGATCAATTGGTCGTGATTCGTTGTGACTTTGTCGTGCGAACTCTCGCAATCAAGCTTCTGGGAATCTTCGCCTTGGCAAATCATGGCAGTCGCAGTAGCTTATCATTTCTTGTTGTACCAATGACAGCTGCTGGCGGACTGACTGCCGTAATCGTAATCTCTCCAGGTCGAATCGCTGTAGTGCTTCCATCCCTGATTGCCGTACGAGTACTGGTTCCATGGCTTCCATGCTGTCTCGGTACTCCTTGGTCCGATTGTAGTTTCTCTCCCGGTTTGCTGCACGGCTTTGGATGTAGACCATCAGTGGGCTGTGTAAATCGGAATCACTGTGCCCCAGCATCAGCATTTCATTGGTGATGTGCTTGATGCGCTCATTGGATGAGACCTGGTAGTCGGCGATGACCTTCTCAAAGTTGTCCTGCATGGATGTCAGTTGTGCCTCGGTCAAAGCATCAATCTCTGACTTGCGGAACTGCTGCTGAATGTCAGTCTTGCCCCATCCCAATACAAATGTCATCACACAGTCCGGAAATGTTCTGTGGCATTTCCTGTGCCTCGTTTCATGTCTTCTGATATTTCTGGATGATGTGGTGGTTGATGAGGCCTTGGTCAGGATTGTAGACATCTTGAAGCTTGCTGTAAGTATTGGCGGACTTGGCACTCTGTGACGAGGGGATGATTCCGGATTGGAAATCTTCCCTTGCTGCGCCATGGGTGATGTTCGGATGAACATGGAACACGCCGATGGTTACGAATGGGAGGTCTGCCCTTGTCACGTGTCGACTGTTAAGGATGTGGATGGAGTTTCCGTTGATTTCGGAGGTGTGCCGCGCATCTCGTTGTTGAACTCTGTGTGGACGACAACGATCTCCTTGTACTTGCCACGTCCTTGGACTTTGGTGCGCGATGGCAATCTCCTTCCAGTGTACTTCTGCTGATCGTCGAACATGTCCGGTCTGGTGGTTGCCAAGCAGTCGGATGTGGGGATGTCGTAGTCGGGATTCGGGATCTATGCAGTCCTTCTCGACTCCAAAGTAGCATCTGAACATTCCGAATGTCGTACAGTATTGGCTCTTGGTGGAAATGTGACGCGCCAATAGCTCGAGCTTGCTTTCCGCCGCGGACCAAGCATGTGACTGGTCTTGCTAACCAGGATTTGAGAACGATGCCCTTGTAGCCGAGCTGATGAACAGCTTGATGAGGTCCTTGAATTTCTCTTCTTCTGGATAAAGGAAGGCATCGGCCTCGGTGAGGCACATGATGTGGGCACTGTTCTGCAGCATCATCATGATGAGTGGCCTCTCCTTCATCGACATGTATTTCACTTCCCGGCTGTCCAACCTCGGATTCCTCGTGAGGTTTCCGTGATTCAAGGTGAGCATGTTGAGCGTCAAGGATGAAGTGAATTCATGTGACGCGAGGTGATCAACATAGGGGCGATCTGTCGGCTGCATCAAGGCCCGGATCATCATCGTGCCTCAACTTCTGCAGGCCATGCGGAAGTCTGATTGGATACCCTGACTTGTCCTGCGCTGCCCTGTACTCTTCCCTTGTCGGTGTTGGTGATGGAAGATATTTTCTGTTTAGTTTCATTCAAATTTGGATGAAGATTCCTTGGATTGTCCTGAATTGTCTTGAGCTCTTCTGCTGCATCGATCTTGGTCATGTCCCGGTCCAAGGTGACTTCCGCGAATTTCTGATTGAATCGTGATAGATTGTCCGGGTTGTGGAGCTCCAGGATGACCTTCTGCTTGACGTTCCCTTCTTCATCTTGATCCGTGGAACGCCGTCGGTTTCTGGTCTCGATGGATGACTCCCTCTCTGATTGGTTCTTGGTCGCCTTGTTGGCATTGACGCGTGCAAAGAAGTGCTCAACGAACTCCGTGGTCTTGGTCTCGTACATCTCCTTGTCTTCCTTGCTGAAGTTCTTCTTCAGGATCCGGTAGTTGAACTGCAGGATCTGACCCTCTGCATCAAACGCTGCAATGATGTCCCAGGTGTTGATGGTATGCTCTGTCAGTACAGTTCGTTCCTCGAGAGTCGGAAGGCGTGCGGATTGTTCTTGGTAAAGGCAAGGATCACGAGCGCGTCACGTCCTGTAGGCACATGAGTCAGCGCTGCCTCGGATGGTTCATCGTTGACGATGATGTCGTCGATGCAGGCAAGGTGAACATGAATTCTTCCCTTGGAGTTGAACTTGCTCCTGTCTTGATTCCCTGATCCAGGATGCTCTCCAAGTGATTTCCATAGGTCGCATGGAACATGAACTTGACAGGAACCTCCTTCCTGTTCCACGGATGGAGGTGCAGGTCGTCGCATCCTGTATCCCGGCTGCGCTGGTTCCGCTTCTTGTGAGAGGATGAGGATGGCAGGTCAGGCGTCTGATGCATTCAATCTCGACATGCCGCGAATGACCACTGACGCATCTCACATACAGCTCCATGTCTGGATCCTTGCTGAATGTCTTGCCATCTGGCCTGAGTGCGCGATGAGCGGTGTTGCAGACAATCGATCCAACGTTGTCGGGGAACAATGTTGTTCTTCTTCTGCCGTTCGTATGTGCCATCGAAGGATGGGTACACAAATGCTATTTCAAAGCGGGACTTGCCATACTTCGGAAACATCGTCATCAAAAAATGCCTGGTTTGTTTCCCAGAAAGTTCTTCGCATGGTTGATGGAGGTCAATGCTTTGAAAAGCTCGCAGGATCCGTTGAGGTTGAGTCTGAACTCATGCTTCATGTCTCTTTTGCTCTCTTCCCGTGGATCACGTTGTAGGCATCCGGAAAACAGTCTGCTGATTCTCTCAATTCTCCAGAGGATGAGACATGAAGCACTCGTGCTTCATGTCTCTTTTGCTCTCTTCCCGTGGATCATGTTGTAGGCATCCGGAAAACAGTCTCAATTCCCCAGAGGATGAGATGAACGATCTGCTTTTCCTCGATGGAGTAGCACTTGCATACGGATTTGGCGTTGTGAGTCGTCCGATCCATGTCAATCTGCCTGTTGTGGCACACCAGTGGGATGACATCGGTGTCAGAGCCTCGTGGACTCAGCAAACACTGTAGATCTTCTCGATATACTCCATGTATGCCTTTTCTGCAAGTGATCGATCCCTGGGAAATGTCGGATACCAGCAGTTATCGAAACGAGCCTTGAGCCAGCATGTCTTCTCGCGCCTCTCTCAATCGTGTTCAGGAACGTAGTTGAGCATTCATGGTAGTACTCTTCCACAAGAAACAGGAATCGAGTGTTCCAGAAAAGTCCTGGATTGATGGTTTCCTTCAAGAGCATATGCCAGTCCTTGAATACTCGTCCGTGATCCATCTTGAACTGTCAAGGGGTGGAGGAGGTGTCATGGTCGGTCTTTGTTGGTCTGATAGTTGTCGGATTCGGTCTCCTCGTCCAGGGCTGCGCCTTGATCTTTGGTGTTAGCTTCAGTGGAGGCACTGAAGGCTGCATGGGCATAGCCTTTGACTTCGGTCGTTCCTTGAGAGTTAGACCAGGTGGATTCTTGTCGCAATCACGCTCATCGGCGAAATTGCCGCCGAGCTGGATCCAAACAGACTGCTGAAGAGTGGCATATCGGCAAGATGATACGACACGCGCAATCACAAAATGGCTGGATGGTTTGTAAACCAAATTGGCTGCGGACGCAGACACATATTTCTTGAGGTTCAAGAATGGTCAAATGAAAAAATACTCATCACGGATTTGAGAAAATTGAAAATCACTAAAATGGAAAATTCATGCATCGGAATTCGTGGACATGTTGATCATGCCCAAGTTCCCCAACAAGTAAACATGGGCTCTGCCATCCCGACTCCTGCGAAGGCAGTGATGTCGGGTCTGTGTTTTGTACTGCGCGCTAGCCATTCAACCAAAAATGCTTTGTTTTGCAACATGGTACGGAAGGGTGGATGTGCGTCAACATTCAAGAGGTTGCCCGTCAGGACGGCCTTGATGAGCTCGTCTGCTTTAGCTGAATGCTTGGTCAGCGAATCTGCAAGGCAATCTTCACTTCGTACATGTGCGAGGTCGTGCATCTGTCCACTATTGCT